CAGTGCTGGGGCATGGGCTGAGGGCCAGAGGTGGAATGTAGCAATTTTTGGACATTAAATTCGAAGATGGACAGAACGGGGATTGTTGTTTTTTTGTTTTTCAGACCGATGTAGCTCGAGCTGTTGCGGATCGTCTTGGTTTTTATTTCATCCCCGAATTTCAAATGGATGAAGTCTTAATTGATCGATTTGGCAATGATTACAGGAACTATTACCATCTGGTTAGTATCTTTTTTTTTAAAAATTCAAGGAACTGTAGATTTTTTGTTTGTTATGGAAATAGAGGAATAGAAGGATTTCACTTGAATGTCATATGTGTATGAAGACACTTTGTGGCGCAGTCTGTGTGTTTCATCCCTTAGCTGTATACACAGACCGAACTATGCGTGCGAGTAGGAGTGGGAATCATCAGTACATCCTCCTACCAGCCATATTTTTTATAGTCATGTAACTGATTTGCAAGACGGATTAGAGAAAGAAATAGATATAAGTGAAGGAACAAATAAAGTGAGAAAGAGGAAGGAAAGAAGGGAAGCTAAAACGTGATACGAACAATCGTTATATTTAATTATTAGACGAATGCTTTACCCGAGGGTATTGTTACCCCAGGGTATGATTGATAGGAATATTCACCTGTGACGGAGTGACACTTTTCGTTACCAGCTTTTGTTATATGGAAGTGAAACATGAAATAGCATTCCTGCTGAGGATTAGGGGTGCACCCACTCCCCCCTCCCCTCCCCCACTCCGCAGGATTATTAAGATTCCACACCTTTGGCATGGGGTATAGCGAAAGTGTAAATACTGATGTTATAAAAGGATAAAGAGAAAATAATGAAGTAGAAAAGATGAAAAAGGGAAGAAAACGAAGAAAAAGCGAAGTGAGAAGGGGAAAGGAGACAATGGAAATATTTGTAATAGGTAAGAACTGTTTCGGTCCATTAAATCGTATACATTTCTTACCGTTACCACAATTAGACCTCGTCAATACGACGATTGTGATAACAAAATAATTTAGATGGGTTAGTGTAGTATAGAAATAATTTAAGAAAAAATAGACAAGAAAGAGAAGAAATAGAAATAGAAGACGAAAAGTGAAGAAATGGAAAAGTTACAAAATTATAAATCCATAAATTGAAATGTGAAAAAATGGGAGAAATGGAAAAGTTATAAAATTATAAGTTCATAAATTATAAATTTAACATTTTCCTGTGTTTTCAAGCTTGATATTTTTCAGTTCCCACAATCATTTCGTCTATTTGATACGAATATGTTTTACAAAGATCCACACAACGATCATACAGCAAGGATGCGCGATCGTATACTGCGGTGTCGTTTTGATCAATTCCTGAATGCAGCTGCGCATATCCTAAATACTGGTGAGCATTTTTCAGAATTTTTGCATCTTTTTTGCTGACGGGCATGATACAGAGCCATAGGCGGATCCAGGACGGATTCCTGAGGGGGGAGGGAGCGAGCGACGGGCAGTACCAAAGAGATTTTTCTTTAGTTTTATCTTTAAAATCGCATTTTTTTAGCACTGTTGCCTGTGCCGCTAGAGAGAAAGACTTCGGCGAGGAGGGGAGATGGGATAGGAGGCGAGGGGGACGAGTCTTGCGCCTGTGGACGAGGAAACCGATATTATCAACACGTGTGGTTGCTCGTTGTACATGCTGCTATTTCGTCCACCCAGGAATCCGTCCTGGATTTGCCTATGATTAGAGAGGGTTTTGATTTTTGGCTTTGAAATTGACATTGGTACCGGAAAAAATGGTGTTTTTTTCAGGCCAAGGTGTTGTTTTGGAACGCAGTCCACATACAGATTTTATTTTTGCAAACGCTTGTCGGGCAAAAAATTACATCGGACAAGAATGTTAGTTCCACAGTTACTACCTTTATCGTTGTAGATTTTGGTTGTGAAGTTTTTTTTTTTTTTTTTTTGAAAAATTTGCAAAACATTGAAATTAGCTTTATTTTACTGCGCTTCTTTCACTAGAATTCGTAATGAAGTCTACAGTTTCGTTCGTCACTTTTCTTATCGCCCTTCTTTCCTCCCCTTTCCTCATCGTCACTACACACCCATGCCCACGCGCACAACCGCACACACACGCATCCGCCCACGCACACGCCAACACACATCAACATAGACACCCTCTCTTCCTCATAAATATTCGTGTCCCGTCAGAAAATATGGGATTTGAATTGCTTTTGCCACTATTCAAAGCAAAAATCACCCAAAGACTCCCACATTTTGCTCCTCTCTTTTTTCGTCCTCCTTTCTCCCCTATTCCCCTCGCGACTTCACACGCCCACCCACCCACGCACCCACCCACACACACCCATGCAGCCCACCCACCCAAACACACGCAGGCGTCTCTCTTTCTCGTAAATCTTCGTGTCCTGTCAAAAAATATGGGATTTGAATTGCTTTCGCCACGTTTCGACTTTTCGAAACAAGATTCGTCCAGAGACTTCCACAGTTTGTGTTGTTTTGGATTGACCTTTTTTACTTCTGTAGTCTTTGCATTTTAATTTGCCGTAATAATTATTTAGATTTCATGTACTATTACATCGAGCGTAAAAATATGATACCGAATTGCCGTTTCTGGCCTCATCTGGTGATTTATTTGGATGTCCCGGTCGATAAATGCCTGGAGAATATTCGTCAGGAAGGCAATGTATGTTTGTTTTTTTGATTCAGTTCACGATTTCCAACAGCCAGCTGTTTTTCACTGTGTCTACATAAATCTGGCTACTAGTAATTCCACAACTGATATGGTCATTGGCGGATCCATGCATGTTTTTTAGGCAGATAAAATCGCAGTGGTGGATCGAAAGTATTTACAAGTGATCGAAGATTCGTACAAAGATGCGCTGAAGGAATTCAAGTTTGTTTTTTTTTAATTTTTTTTTTATTGAAATTCATCTAATTCATTTTGTAAATGTGAATAATATAAGAATACAATAATATAAGAAATCAATAATTTCCAATAATTTTAATGTAATAGGATCAATAATTTTGCATCCAAGATTTTTATTTAAAAAAAATGTTTTAAATTTATGAAATTTCACATAATTATAAAATATTTTTTTTCCAGGAAACATTCTGAAATTCTAATTTACGATTGGACCCAACCCGGTAACGTTGATAATATTATTGAAGATATCGAAGATTTGGATTTGGATTTTTATGAGCATCATAAAAGTGATGTTTTCGCAACCTGGGAAATTTCGAACAGCGAAGTGGAATATACGATTGCACGCAACTTGTATTTATTTTTCATTTTTATAAAACTTAATCGAAATACTACTAAAGCCTTATTCCCGGATGCCCATCAGGCGATCTAGTAGTATTGGTCCAAGCAGTTGGAAAGTTGCCAGACCTGTATTTTTTTGAAGTAACGGCCATTCGACGATCGATTCAGAAATGGACGATCCAAGTGGGACGGAGGCCGAAGTGGGTTAAATTGATAAGGGAATTTTTTTTCGGTTGTTGGTAGGCCAAACCGTAATTTCTGAAGTAAAACCTGGTTCGGACGGTGGAAAATACGGCACGGCCGAAATTCTTAAATTCCAATGTGCGGTGAAATATTGGTAAATGGATTATGATGGGGAAGACAGTAGGAGTCAAACCCGCCATCAGCTTGCTTCTAAGCAATCCTCGAAATTTCATAAATTACCACTGGAGCTGCTTTCGAGTGCCTTCGCCTCTCACAGAAAGTGAAGGCGGAAAGATTTACGATCTTTGAATGTACCTCTAACAGTCAGATTTGGGAATTTTCAGTGTAACAGATAAACGAGAAGCACATGCATTTGCTTTTTTGGATCTTCCACAACATGAATGTGGTGAGCTGTACCAGAGTCCTCGTGAACTTGGTCGCTATATTCAATGTATTCACAATGAGGTGAATTTTTGAAGCATTTTTCGTAATAAATTATGATTTTTCGTAACAAATTATTGCATTTTCGTAATAAATTATTGCATTTTTCGTAATAAATTATTGCATTTTCGTAATAAATTATTGCATTTCCGCAATAAATTTTTGCATTTTTTGCAACAAATTATGATTTTTTTATTGTTTGCTACTTAGTTTGTTACAAACATAAATAGATCCAGGGCGTCCTCCTTGGGGAGGAGGGTGGGGACAACAGGGGATACCGAGCAGACTTTTGTACAGTAAAACAACTACTACTTAAGCTCCTGAAGGGGATGAAAGGCTTCTGCCCTTCCTCCCCCGCTCCTCCGCCCTGAATCCGCCAATGGTTACAAAAGATTTCCGTTTTCCCTCTTAGCTGGTCTTGCACAGACTTCTTCAGAAAGATTTTTATAATGGGTTTTTATTGCTTTTCATTATATATTCACTGCTTTTTTTCATATCTCTACGTAAAGAATTGGATTTCAGAATCGCTTTTTGGATCGCGTTTCTCCTGTTTTTTTAATAATAATC